GTATTTTGAAGAGGATATTAAGTTTGTAAAATTACCAGTAAAGCCAGGACAGCAAAAGTTCGGTCTTATTTTACAAACTTTACAAACTTTGTATCTACAAAAAATATTGATCCTAAAATTTCCGACTTTAAATAATTTGTTAATATTAATAATAATACTAAAGTCATGATATCTAGCATAGCGTTTATTATTCCATTTTTCATTTCGTATATGCTATTTGTTGTATAGTAAACTTTGTACTCAAGCTGCAAACATCGCGAAATGAGATAGGAAAATAACCCTGCAGATAAAAAGATGCTAGTTTCCGTTGGTGCTGCCATCTATGGGCGATAAACGCACACTGGAATACAAACAGAAAAAATGGATTTTATTTTACTTCCGTTCACTTTCATACGTTTTAATTATTGTAATGAAAGCATAATTATAGATCAAAAATTTTGTTTGAGAAGTTAAAGATACAATTTTTATAAAGGGTTTGATATTTATATGGTACGATGGAATTTCTGTTTAAAAACACTGTCAGATTTTTAAAAGAATTGAACAATAGAGGAAAGAATTTCTCACATATCAGAAGTTGTATATTTTGCTGGTATTAATAATTATTATTATTCTTTAAAATAATGTCTTATTAGTTCTGAAGGACTATTGTTTTCGTTTTGAGATTTGGTGTTAGTTCACTATAAATGCCCGTTTAACTTTCAAACTGTTGCCACCAAATATTAGAGTCCTGCATTATAGTTGAAGAAATTAAATAATGAAAAATTTGTATAATTGTATGTTTATTTCTCGCATTGTGATAAAACAACGGTACATAGAGCCATCGAATTTTGAATGACGTAATCCTACTGAGAATATGGGCATACGGAAGCCCAGATTTGTTTTATTCCAAATTGATGCATGTCATGGATTCCAAATGGATGCATGGTTTATGCATGGGCCATGGATCAACTGGTCCATCTACGATCGAAAATGTGTTGCACAGAGTGATGAGCCCGATCGCGATTGTCTTACTCTGGTAGTTGGCTAAGAATATGACGTCAGTTCCAAGAAGTTATAAAACCAGCGTGCCAGGTTAAAACTGTGCAAGATCATAGACACGCAGTAATTGGTCTGGAGTATTTTCTCTTAGCAATGTTTAAGACCTTTGTATCAATATCTTCACTATATCTGAGAATGTAGATCTGCTAGCGATCACTTACTGATTTCGTTTTATTTTCTACCATTCGGTTGGAACTGGATTATACTAGCTAGATATCTGCTCCATCTCGTTGGCCACCATCTCGTTGGAGGAACGTTCCTCTTGAAACTTGTCTGTTAAAATGATCATCGAGATATCCAAATTTAAATTCTATTGACTTCTTTTGAGATACTTTGAAAAAGGGCAAGCACGTCATCAATTAACAGTAACGTTAAGTATATGGAAATCTAAAAGGTGTTTGGCAGGCCATACCTCTGCAACATTTCTTTAGATTTATTGAATCTGTGCGTCTCGCGTGGCAGCAGTTGTCAGAACCAAAGGAACAGTAACTTATTACTGATGAGTATCCATAGAACAGGGGTCTCCAACCCTATGCCCCCTCGAGCAGCATTGCATCCGCCGCAAGCACCATTGCCCCCTGCTGTGTGACAACAATAAAAAAGGTAACTTTTTCCAATAAAATGTTACATACCATTTTTTATAGTTAGTAATAAATTAGATAAAAGTAAGACTTTTTAAAAATATTTGTTTATAGTTTTATGTTTATCAGTTGTTGGTATTATGAATAGATATTGCCTTCTACAAGAAAGATAAATCATTTCCAAACTTTATGACGAATAACCAGGAAGCTTTTTGTGGCAGAATACTACTCTTGGAAACCGTTTTGAAAATAGTTACAAAAACATTAAACTTTATTGAAGCAGCCCTATGCAACACCACCAGCCCTACTAGAAACATCTGAAGATCCTGATCTCATTCTGCTTACTGAAGTACGTTGGCTCAGTAAAGGTAAAAGTATTCTTAAGTGAAGGAATAAAACATTATTCTATACCAAAAATTAACATTTTGCTGAAATAACGGAATTTAGCTGCTTCGTGCATTCAGGTTTTCTCATAAACATAATTGAGAAATTGAGTTTTTTAAACTTGGAGCTGCAGGAAAAAACAAGCTAGTACCTTTGATGATAGAATCTATTAAGTGGTTTAAAGCTCAACTTATTTCTTGGATATTTCAATTGAAGTCATTTAGATTTCCAAGTATAAAAAAAAATGATTGGTTAAGTTGAAACTGACTTTTCTCACTTGTTATAAACCTTCAGTTACTTCAAGACCAGTTTGAAAAAACTATTTCAACAGTTTAATCATATTGAGCCAATAGTTATCTTTTTCAACAGTCCTTTTACTTGCTAAGTAGGGAATGTAACAGAAATAACTGCATATATTGCAGAGTTTATTTAAATAAGTATGAAGCTAGCTAGTTCACTGAAGTTAGAAAATTTGGATCTTCAAAATAACATTGTACTAAAATCCAGTGTATCAGATGCTAAATTTGGGAATAAAGCTGACTGAAACTAATTTGAATTTTTTTGAAAAGAACGTCGGACAAGAAAAAATCGAAGAGCGTCAAACAAGAAAAATCGTTTTTTAATTTTACATACCTGTGTGAATCATTGGTTTCAACAATAAATATCACACAATCAGAGCACAGATTTCTACTTACATATAAACATCTTAATAACTGCATACGAGCAGGAATATCATTGCTGTCTCCGAATTATGAAGCAGTGTCTAATGAAAAACAATCCCAAATGTCGCGCCGATTCTAAGGAAGACATTTTTTATAAAACAAATTTTATACCAACAAATTGTGAACCAAAGAATTTATGAATTATAATTTTATAGCAATATCCTATATTATTCAACAATTATTTATTTTGCATGAGAAAGCGACTATTAAGTTCTGTATCTAAAAACTATATTTTTGAAATAATTTTCCTTTTGTATATATTATGTGTATTAATAAGTATGTCAACCTATAAATTTACCTTGAAAAAATAAATGTTTTCTTCCCCTCACCAATATTTTAGAATGGGCTTTGAGGTACAAAGAAGTTCTGATCACTGCCCAAGTAATAATGGCACTTCGATATAGTAGCATAAGCTTGCTATCTCTGAAGTTTGTATGCTGAAATGTAATAAAATAATAAATATGAGACATAAGCGTTCCTTTTCACCGCTATGGCTTTCAAAATGAGAAGCATTTGTTGCAATGAAAACCAACTTTGTGTATCAAACAGAATGCCTTGAGTTCGCTTCAAATATCTGTGAGCGAGCTTATTTGCATGAACGTTTGTTAGTTTTTCGCCATGTATAACGTGGCTACGAGCCAGTTGCTCTTAAAATGTCTTCCAAGAAGGCAATTCCTTTAGGCAGATAGTTCTCGTATGTTTAGCCATCATCTAAAAATTTAATACAGCAACTAGTCCATTAAAATCTCTTTCAAAGTTGAGAACATTCTTACCATCTCCTTTGGTAGTATTTAATCTTAATACCCTGTTTAAATTACTTAGATTGTTCATAAACGAAGTGAAAGCGATTGCTTGCAGTTATTAGCATTAATAAAGTTATTTCTCATAAACAGTGAAGGACTAATTCACGGTCGATTGGCAAGGGAAGTTCTTCACATTTCACTAGTAAATATCTTTTATTATGCAAATTTTGTGTTTTTATAAAAGCTATTCATTTGTATTAAATACTGTCCGATAATAACAAATTACATTTAAAATTATCCCAGTGATCATGCATTAAATTAATTTTAAATAATTTTAGTTTAAAAGTTTTTATATAATGCCTCCGTTGCTTAATAATTATTTGCCCTATGATTAAAATAAAATAACATGCCGAAAAAGTATTAATTAGAATTCAAACAACAAAAATCAGCGTTATATTTGAAAATTTTCACAGGACTATTTTCGATGGTTTTACTGAACCATCATCCTCAGCTCAGGATGATGGTTTGGTACGTTGACTTTTGATTTTTATTGTTTGAATTTTAAATTTATTATTTGCCCTGTTGTTGCAGAAACGGATAATATTCAACCGCATATTCAGACTTGTTCTTAATCTTCTAACTTCTCTGTAAATCCACTGCGTTGCTTTGCTGACTAGCAGCAGAACGAAATGATTGGGGATTGATAGTTCTGCACGGTTTGAAATTCCGGGGAGCGCGCTAACTGCACGGCTGTTCTTGTGACTTCCCCCCCCCCATGTATAACTTGCATACGGACCTGTTTCTTTTTAAAAGTCCGGCATGAAAGCATCCCTTTCCTTAGACAGATAACGCTCATGTGACTTGCCCCAATCCAAGTAACCTGCTGTTCTCTTGTTTTTGATAGTTTTTTAAACCGTTTTCTCGGAACTTTCCCCATAGTTTCATAAATTATATCTTTTAGATATCTATCCATTTGTTTGTTTAAGTCTTCGAAGTACATTCTGGTCGATGATTCCCAATCCTCGAGTGCATCTTTCAAATTCATAACAATGAAAATTATCCTTTTTCAGGTTTATTCTATATTCCTGAATAAGTATGAATGCCATGATTCATGCCACTAAAGGAGGAATTTCGTGGATGTAATAAATATAAACTAATCGTAGCAATGAGAATAGAAAATCAGATCATATTTACTAGTGGCTATTACTGCAAGATATTGACATCAGTTAAAATTTGACAGAAATTTGCGTAATTATTATAATTTTTAAAATATATGCATTGCTCAAATCGTAGAAGAGTGAAAAATATCAGGTAGAATCGAGTGCATCGTTGAAATTCATAACAATGTTTTTTATTAAAAGGAAACTTTAGACAGACTGTGACTGCTGGCAGTTCCCGGTGGAATCAATTAATATGTAAGTGTTCTTGCGTATAATGCATTTATGAGAAATTGTTAGGAATGTAAAATAACTGGCAGATTTCTGATGACTCAAATGTAACTGCAAGAGACATATAACTATATTTATTTTCTGTATTAGTTATTTTTTATTTTTTGATCATTACATATGAAATGGGACGTCGTCTTCTAGCTAGGTATGGATAAATTTCTTTGATTATTCATGTATTACGTTTAAAATTCTTCTTTCGAAATATTTAAGTCTTCGAAGTACACTGGTCGATGATTCCCAATCCTTGAGGATATTTTAACTACATTTTACATTGTATATCCAGTTTCTTTCATGTTCCACTAGCTGTGGTCACATACCAGTTGGATTTTAGTAGTTATATTTTGGCCTTTCTTGCTTCTCGTCAGCTTGTTCACGAATAAACTTTGCAATAGATGTAACACATCCTTTAGAAAAACTCGTCCCAACTGCGTCAGTGATATTTGGCACATGACCACAGTAACCTGGCATCATGTAATCATTGAGTATACGACGTCCTATAGAAGGAAACCGGTTGTTGATGATTTTTTTATCTTCCTCCATTTTCTTTTCAACCTTTTCTTGTTTTTTGGTAGGATGGGCTACCTCAGCATCTATAGGATCCAATCTTCCTGCCATCCGGGGTTTGTCTTTAAGTACTTCATGCGTTATCCGTCCGTAACTGGCCCCTACATTCAAAGGCAATTCTGGACAAAATCCTGTATATCCAGGAATGAAATGGGGTTGAGGGACAAGATCCGGTTTCATAAATGGCTTTTTTATGATTTCATCAGTTGACATTTTATCAAACGACATAATGGTTCGCAAAGATTTGAAGTAATACTCTTAATGAAGATCAAATGCAAATATTTCTTCAATTACTGTAATCTGATTGATATAAAGGTTTAAAATTAATAATGTTTGGGGGAAGGGACTGAATAGGAACAAATTTCTTAACAATATTCTAGCTCAGTATTGAAAATTAAAAAATCCAAGTAATTTATCTTTATGATCGTCCTATATCGTTTGGTCAAATCAAACACTGGTATACAATTAATTACACTAAATTAAAACTAACACGCGGGAACAGGATATTAACTGATAACTAAAAACCGTATAATTTTCTTTAAACTTATTATCTAAACATATAACCGTCTTATTGCTTTCATCAGAATTTAAGATTATAAAGTTTTTTCATTATAAAAGATTAATTTTCTTACTTATGAATCTTTACCTTCAAACGTTTCAAATGATTCGTCAAAATTGTAAAAACTGATCGAAATGATATCTAGGATATTGCTATGAAAATAATTTGGAATCTGAAGCTTCTTGGTTGTAACTGAATTTTGAAGTTTGCCTATGAAAACGATTTACTATTTAGACATATTGTGCAAATAAATGAAACAATTAATTTTGTATGTTTCTCGAGGGAAATAGTTTAGTTGTTTTCTACCTCTAATTATTAGTTTTTTCGTGCTGGATTTAATTATTTAAAGTAACATGCCTAGCACGCTAATGATTTTTTAATTCAAACTAGAAATCCGGTTTTTACATATATGTGGTGAAAGAATCTTTTTATTACTACTTATATTTTAAGGCATAGAAGTTAAAAAGCTAATTTTGAACTTTTTTTTAAATCTCTACGTTTCACACTTTTAAGCCACGTCTAAGAAATTTATTACTTCTGATCTCAAATCTATATTATTTATTTTTGCACGTGACATTATTCACGTTTTCTGATTTTTTTTTTTTTTTTTTTTTTCCAAAAAGCAATATTATGTCTGTGCCTGAAATTTCCTAAAAATAAATCGGCTAGAAATCATAAATTCCAAAACAAAGGTTAGCCACACTACATTATGATAGAGTAGTAGGTGAGTCATCAGGATATTTTAAATCAGGAGCCGCGAAAAATGTGCAATACCGTTGCAGGGACTCGAACCGTGGACCTCTGAATATGCGTCGAGTGTGCTTTCCGTTTCATCACAAAGCCATGCGGAAAGGAAGAAGAAAATACTTTATGTACTCCGTCTTTTTAACGGCGACGGAGATAAGGGAACGTACATCGACAAATTATTATGTTAATGTAAAAAGCGACAGGAAATCGTTCCTCAATCTTAATAAACCGAATTTCATTAAAATTCTAGATCGAAATCATATTCAGAAGCAATGAGCAATAAAAACTGAACCATAATTTCCTAAATTTCTTCAGTACTTTTAGGGAATTAGAAATATTTCTGGAATCAATCATCTCTGCAAACGTACTTCCTTAATCAGCAACAATTACAACAAATAAAAAACCCAGAAACTCCAATTTAACGGATGTATATATCATTCCTTATATTCCAGGAAAATTTACATCAAAGCAATAATTGAACTATAGCCTTACTTCGTAGTTCCCTTTAACAGTTGATAGCCAAGAGGCAGAAACTAGTTATTTCCTATACAGTCAATTTTAAAGTAAAGTATGTGACCAGTAAAGTTGGTAGGAAACTGCCCATGTGCCTCACCGCTGTCTACTAAATTTTGTTTTCCCTAATCATCTTTAGTTCTGTTTCTTTGCTATAAAATGACTACTTTCAATTTACTCATAAAAAAAAAAACTAAACTCAGTGACACAAGCGGCTCTAACGGGCCAAGGCCTGCAGTGCCCCGAAATCTGCTTTCTTGACCGTGGGCCCCGGGGTGCCTAAGCATATGCCCTGAACAAGTGGTCAGCTTGGTCGCAGGACACCCAGTGTTTAATCCCCAAGCGAACTTGGTACTCATTTTATCGACCCAAGGTATGGAAATCAAGGAATGAAAGGCTGAGTCGACCTTGCCCAGCCCGGTGTTCGAACCCCGGACCTGTGGTGCTGCTGCGCAGTGTGCTAACTGCTGCGTCATGGGCCTCTTACTCATATTTATTCAAAGCTTAAATTTTGTTAATTGCAAACTTAGTCATTCCACAGTTTCCCCTTCTTTCTATTTTTCGAATAACCCTTCGACATTACATGGAACTTAAAGAGTCTAAGAACGTCTTACATTATTCCTCTTTTTTTGAGTCTAAGAAAATCTTGCATTATTACTCCTTTTTCTTAACGCTGGCTGCTCTTGGATTTCAAATAATATCATAAGACAACGATTATTTAATTATCTTCAACAAGAAAATGCTATCATTTGCAGATTAGCCAATTGTTCTTAAAACAACTCAACACTACATTGTGATAGGGCAGCCAGTACAGAAGTGAAATTTTTAAACTTAGTAGTGCAGCGCTTAAGATGCCTGCGTTGTTACTCATACTTGGGTAACATTTTCTATAGATTGCTTCCATAGCATCATTCTATAATATATTCTATAGATTGCATCCATAGCATTTACCACAGTATAATAAATATATCGAAGTGTCTGGAAGGAATGATAGCAATGCTAGAAAAATAGATGCTGACTTCTCATCAAACTCGATCAGGAGACTATGCAGGATGGAGAAAACGAATGTAGGAGAGGCGTCAGTGGAAAGTTTCAGCTACGTCACTAATCGCTGCCAGTTGACTGGAAGCTGATAGAGAACTAAATGAAGGTGATTCGAGGCTGCAGCAAAGGAAACAAATATTCCTGAGTACATTGGAGAAGGGGACTCTTTTATAATTGTACAAATTTTGAAGGATAGCCAAATGTTTAGGGAAAAGCAATTGCAGTGAAGTAAAATTTAATAGTTAAAATAAAAATGTCAATTAGCATGTCCCAGAATAGCAAGAAGACGTTTCCTTTTAAAATTAATCTTGCAATCGTAACTTAATCTTGAGATTGTGTGATTAACAGGTCTTTGAATTACTTTGAAAAAAATATTTTTTCAAGATTTACAATGAAGACACGTATGTATTTGATTTTATCCTTGCTACGAATTGTCTCATTTTTGATGAACGAGTGGAAATTAATAGCTTATCTTAAGACTGACTTCTGAGCAACCTAAAGTCGCTGTTTTTCTTTCACCGACATAATATCTAACATAACAGGCGTAGATAAGAATGGGAGGCAAAATAGCCTAATAAATGAGTAATTTGTGATCTATACAGTAAACACTGTTCCGACCAATCAATGGGGCAGGCATGCATTTACAAGGTCGGAAGGTATCATAAGTATGCTATGTAGGGCTTCCATGTGACGTATTGATTAAGAATAATTCCTAAGTATTTGACTTTCATGGTCCAGGGGACAAATGGTTATGCATCAGAATTTCCTCATTCTCAAATAGATTGCATTTTGTAGCACAGCATCAGATTTGCATTTGTAAATAACACAGAATCGGATTTCTCCGCATTAATCTGAATTTTTCAGAACTGGATCCAAGTTCTCATGTGCATGAATTATAAGGTATTTCTCCCGCCTTCTTAGCGTGCCTTCGTAGTGTGGTGGTCTGCACGCTCAGCACTTAATTGAGAGGTCCGTAGTTCGATTCCCGACAAAGGCGTTGCAAATTTTTCATCTTGTCTGATGTCTCTATAGAATATATACATGTAACGTACGCTTTACTGAATCGAGCGATCCACTTTGAGTTAGAATTGCAGAGTCGTAGTTGTAGATAGCCAGTGTTTTGTCGTGTGAATGGGAAAATATTACATAAAACAGCTTCAGTAATTCGCTTGTGATACTCCGGCTAGGATACACGCTGTTGATTAGAACGACAAAATACTATCTGTTCTGCCCTTAGTAGATAAGTAGATGGCACTATTATCGCGCCACAAAGTACCAGTTAGGTCCTGTAACTCATCATGTGAAGACGTGTATTGAAGCGTCAATAAGGAGCGCAGTCTTATAGTGCCATTCTTTAAGTAAATTAGTCTTCCGTCCGATATTGTGTTCACCATCGTAATAAATGTTGTGTATGAACTTGGCTCAATCCTTGGAATAACGTGCCGACCACATATAGTCAGCACCCTGTAACCACACCTCTGGACTTTTGGAGCTAAATCATGACCCCTCACTATCGATTATTGAGATAGGAATAGATGATGCTTGTGATATAACCTTTAAATCCCAGCGTTAGAAGATTGCATAAGAAGGCCTCTCAGACAGACCCAGTCAAAATCTTTGCCGCATCCGAAATATGGCGGTATTAGTCAGTATGCTCTGTAAATCATATGAGCTGGTATAACTGCTGAATCTCTTCCCTGGAATCCATATTTCTCTGGTATTAAGACACTGTCAGAATCCGTGTATTACAATAGTCTTTTGAGGATGGCCTTTTCCACGATTTACTTAGAAGTGAGACATGCTAATAAGTCGATGTGGGACCGAGTCACTGGAGGATTTTCCTGTCTTCAGGAAACTTTGCCTGCTACAGGAGATACGATAGCGTTTTCTACCGAGAGGCAGAGTACTAAATTTACAGCATATGTTTCACGATGCAAGAAACTTGGTAGCCATGATAAACCCCATGTCGTAATCATCTTATTAGAAATTTCATGTAGGTAAGTACTTCTGACGGTTGTACTGGAAAAATCTTGTGAACGCGTGGTTGTGAGAGAAAAGTTATCAGCATATCTGTAAAATAAAGTTTTTTTTTCTTTGTTTGAGAGTGTGAAATGTTGCTGATCTAAGGAGCATAGTGATAGGCAAGCGACTTAGGTTTTTCAATTTTAGTATATACAACTCCCTTAGAGTTAGTTAAGAGTGGAATAGTCACATGGTTCCAAATAGATATATTATCTGAAGGAAATGATTCCTTGTAGTTCGCCCAATCGTGTTGTGCTTATTTTCAAGTAAGGAGCCTGACTACATGCCCCGACTTGTTAAGAAAGGTTATATCAGCAAGACACCTAGTTCAACATCATAAAAAGTATTCTGAGTCGAATGTCAAGTAATTAGCCTTATCGTTGTGTAATATAAGCCTTATCTTTGCATAATATAATATAAGTACGTGCGAGGAATATTTTCTAGAGTAGAGGAATATCAGAACATAGAATGAATTTAACAGCATAGGTATTCATTTAAAATTTTCAAATATCGTAGGGCGATTAATGGTAATTGGAAAGTTAGATCAAAAACCAAAGTGCAACCGAACTATTCAGCTAAAACAGGAGTTCTTAACTAGTCAGCATTGACCTCTTGGGAGTCGATAACCTAATATGCACTGACAGTTGATCGGTATAATCAATATCGTATCATTGATTACACACAATTTATTAATAAAATTAATAATTAATTATTTATTAATATTAAGCTGCATCATACAAAGTGAAGCCTTATT